ATATATACACCCAGTCAGTTGACCGTTTAGGCCAGGAGAGCCGCTGAGGTCCAGAAGACGTAAGAGGTAGTCAAAGAGGACTGTCCAGATAACACTCAACCGCAACCTAATAATGGAGAAATTTATAAAGAATCTGACAGATAAAACAACTAGTACAACTAATAGAACTCTAAGGATAAAAAACAAAGAGGAAATTATTATTAATGATATTGAAAACCAAATACAGAATTGGAACATACCTAAGGTTCCAATATCAGATGTTTACAAAAAAGGTACATTCGACCTCAAAATCGGATATGCTATAAAAACAGTAGAAGAAACTCTTTCTGTCACTAGTAACCAAGAAGATTTTCAATTACTATCTCAAAAGATATTACAAATTCATAAAAACAAAAATTATAAATATTTACATATAGGATTAATACAAATAGCTGTCAAACCCTTGACTCGCTTGGGATTAAATAATTCTATCTTAGTCTTCCTACGCGATACTAGGCATAATAGATTTTCTGATTCACTGTTAGGAATGGTCGAATCTAGTTTATGTAGTGGACCAATATATTTCAACTGTTTTCCAAATTATTCTGTATCACTTACAGATCCAAATATTTTAAATGTTTTATCTTTAAATCTCAAAAGTCAAGGATTTAATATGAAGACAGGTTCTCAAAATATAGCCATTGTTTATCGAATCTATTACAAAGTAATGACTACATTATGTCCAAATGTACTCCAAATAGATACGAGAGGACAAACAATATTTTTTCAAACCAATATGGAAAAATCAAATACAATTATACCAAAAACAATATCATGGTCAGATATTGTTCTACCCCAAACATGGTCTATCAATAATGAAAACCAACCATCACAAAATCCCACTCAAAATATTCCAGATAAAATTATTGAATATACAGACGGAAATATTGAAATACAGTTCACCACAAACAATAGAATTATGGATAATGCATCCATCTCAGGAACTTCAAGTATTCATTCTTTTCGAGATCCAGAACCCCCAAGAAAATCCATTACTGCTTATACGACAATTCCTCCAATAATAGATATTCCATCAACACCAAAACCACAAATTGATGGACTTCCGCGAACGTCTGATAATATCATTATTCCCCAATACAGAAAAGTTGAAGGAGAACCTGCTGAGGCAGAATTCATTCAAGTATTACAACTTGAAGAAACATTCACTAAAGAAGATATTATCAATGATTTCTTATCCCCAGAAAATAAAAATATTAGAGAATGGTATGTCAAAGAATTTGAACCTAGATTAGTAGAATTATTTCACTCACAATTTAATAAATGGAGAAAAAAGGGAAATAGAGGAAAATGTTTCTTTAATTGGTTAAGAGACACCTTAAGCCAACACAATATCCCTATTCCTGACTTCGAAATAAATACATTAGAAACCCAATACACAGTATTCAATACTACAGAAGGAAATACTATCAAATCTATACATCCTCCTGAACAAAGCTTGAAAATACAAGGAGTTGCTACTACAGTACCAACTGCAAAAACTCCAGAACAAAATATAGGATCCTCATCTACAGCAAGCCAAATGGTTGTATATGAAACAGTAGCCACACCATATAAACTCAACAATGCCAATATAGCTCGTGTAGAATTACTCCCACACATAATTGAACAAAATAATTATACAAATCTTTATCTTCATACGCTTGGACAACAAACAAATAGAATAGAAAATTTACTACAACCTCCCACTTACAGGGAGAAAAAACAATTATTTTTTAAACCACCTCCTGACTTGAATAAAGACAAATTTCATATCGGCGATGATAATACAACACTTATGGGTCAACTAATCTCTAAATTATCTAAACTAGAAATAAAAGATCCCAAACCAACAATCATTTTATCAGATAATGATAAAGGAAAAACAAAAATCCCTGAACATGATAATATGACTCTACAAGAAGAAATACTTTTCCAAACCACTGAAATGAAGGAACCACCAATTGACAATACAATACAAAATATGCAAACAGCGTTTTCTGAAATACAACTTACTCCTGATAGTATAAATCGTATCAATTATAGTAAAAACTGGCAACCAATAAATGTCCGACCATATTATAAAAGACCAACCCCAGTTGATATCCAATTAGAAGAAGATCTAACAAGTCATACTTCTACATATACAGGTCGAACAATTATAGATTGGAATATTGATGGAATTTCCGATCACCGAATACTAGATACAATGAAACACATGACTATGTATGCTTTAGCACGTAAAATGGCTGGTAGTCATGACCAAGAAATAGCAAAAGCTATAGTCTCAGGATTCATCGGATGGCTAAGGGGATGGTGGGATTCATATCTTAATGAACAAACAAAACAACAAATATTAACTAATACTCGACAATGGACAACAAAAAATGAACATAACCAGGATATGGTATATTCTGAAAGTGATGCTGTCAATTCT